CGCGCACAGACCGACGGTGCTGCTCGATGAGAGCGTGTTGCCGACTGACCATCTCATTGAAACTAGCACTGAGTGTCTTCAAGGTCGTTTCGCAGGCCACTGGCCTGCAATACTTGATTAAGAGTAAAAACAAACCTTCCAGTCAACAATCAAGGATATTTGAAAACTTGACCAAGGAGATTCCTCAATGGCTGAAGATGATGTTCTCCAGTCGCTGGTGCGGTTATGGCAGCGGACGGCCTCCCCCTCCTCCCCCTCCTCCCTCCCTCCCCCCTCGTCCTCCTGCCTGCCCAGCGCTCCCGCAAGTCAGCTTCCTCAGCCCTCCAGTCACTCCTATCAAGCTGCGTTCCTGTCCTCCTGCGCAAGCCTTCCTCATGCGGCGAGGGTAGCCAAGATGAAAGCTACTCAAGAAGACTTGCTGCGAATGCTGCTGCTGGCCTGCCGGGAAAGGATCGACGGCCTTTGCTCATCCATGAGGATGAGCGAGGAGGAGAAGACGTCACATCCGGAGTTACTGAGCAGCGAGGTGTCTGAAGGGCTGCTGCTGAAGCTGGAGGATCTCGAAGCAAGGCTGACGAGGGACATGGAGAGCATGAGATCACTTCTTGCAGGAGTGGCTGAGTACGAGAACCTTCTCCGAGAGCGGGCGATGCTGGAAACAACCTTCACCGACTCCTCCAGGCTGCTGGATCGCACTTCGAACTCGTACACTCTTCGGCGATCGGAGGAGCGGTACAAGGCTCTGGTGCTCAAGATCATACCTGAGAGAAGGAAGGAGCTGCTAGAAGCGATAGAGGAGTGGGAGAGGAGCAACGGGAAGGCGTTCTTGACGTGGGGACGAAGGTACCTTGACAGCCCAGATGAAGTGATACCAGCGGACGAGGAAGGTGTACGGGGACGAGGAGCAGAGCAGTCTCAGGTGAAGGCGAGCAGAGGAAATGATATGAAGGGATCGCAGAATGTTTCGAAAGAGAGGATAGTCCGCATCCAGCACAATCGTGACAGAGGCGAAGAGCACATCTCCCAAGTCTCACAGTCTATCTCCTTCATCTCTGCTGCAGAGCCTTCTATAGAGCCAGACGCTTCTCCAGGTCAACCGCTAGTCTCCTCTCTGCACAGTAGCTCAAGTGCTTGTAGCTCGGCGGTCGAAGAAGCAAGAGCGTGCTTCAAGCCTGCTGATGGACCGGGTGGAAGCCCTGGAGACCTGGGCAAGAGAGCG